GGGGGGGCCTGGCACCCTCCTGGCACTACGGGTGACATCGGAGCCAGGGAGGAGGGCGAGGGGGCCCCGGGGTCCCACAGTGCCCTAATTGTGGGGAGGGGGAGAGGGAAGCAGCCCCCTGGGGGGGTTGTGGGACACTGGGGTGGTCCCCAAGGCTGACAGGTACCCACCTGTGGGATCCCCAAATACACCTGGCCCTGGGGGGCTGTGGCTGGGCCCTCCCCCAGGAGTGGGGTCTGGGGGGGCCCCAGGAGAGCAGAGGGGGGTCCTGCCTCTGGTGGAAGGTTTTGGGGGGTCCCAGCAGGAGGCCGTGGGAGTCCTGCCCCAGGAGGAGGGTGTGGGGGTCCTGCCCCTGCCTCCCTCCCACCCCACTCTGTCCCCCCAGGCCGCCTGGTGCGAGCTGCCAGCCCGGGTGCTCCTGGTCCTCACTTCCCAACGCGGTGTCCAGGTGAGGGCTGGGGGGCTCGGGGGGGTCCCTGGAGGTCCCGCTGCCCCCCCAGGGCTGTCACCCCCCGGGTCCCACCCTGTCCCCCCTGTCCCAGATGTACGAGGCCGACGGCTCCACCCTGGTGTTCTGGCACGCGCTGGACGTCCCGGAGCACCCGGCGGGTGAGTGCCCCGAGCCCCCCAGCACTGCCAGGGACACGCCTGGCCATGCCCCAAGTGCCACAGCCACAGGGTGTTAAATCCCCCCTGCCCTGGGCAGCTGTGCCAGGGCTGGACAGCCCTTTCCAGGATGGAATTTTCCCAGTATCCAACCTGAGCCTCCCCTGGCATAGCTGGAGGCCGTTCCCTCTCCTCCTGTCCCTTGTTCTCTGGCAGCAGAGCCCGACCCCCCCTGGCTCCCCCCTCCTGTCAGGGGGTTGCAGAGCCAGAAGGTCCCCCCTGAGCCTCCTTTTCTCCAGGCTGAGCCCCCCCAGCTCCCTCAGCTGCTCCTGCTGTTCCAGCCCCTTCCCAGCTCCTGCCCTGGACACGCTCCAGCCCCTCAATGTCTTGTGAGGTGCCCAAACCTGCCCCAGGGTTGGGGAGTGACCCCCCAGTGCCTGGCACAGGGTTCAGTCCCTGCCCTGGGGTCCCCCAGGGGTGACACAAACCCTTCCCTTCCAGCACATTCCGTGTTTGCCCGAGGCATCTCTGCGGCCGGGGAGCGCTTCATCTGCGTGGGTGAGCTGGGCTGGCTGTGGGCAGGGCAGGGAGCCCGGGAGGGCTGAGCCCTGCTGACCCCCTGACCCACAGGGACATCCTCCGGGGCCGTGCTGGTGTTTGACATCCCCCCCAAAGGCACCAACGTGACCCTGAGCGAGGTCCTGGAGCAGCACCGGGATCCCATCACCGACATCGCGGCTGAGCAGGGCCAGGCCCCAGTAAGGGGGAAGATGGGGGGCCCTAAATCCCATTGATCCCACCCCCTGCCACGGGCAGGGACACCTCCCACCAGCCCAGGTTGCTCCAAGCCCTGTTCAGCCTGGTCTTGGACACATCCAGGGATGGGGCAGCCACAGCTTCTCTGGAAACCTGTGCCAGGGCCTCCCCACTCTCACAGGGAAGGATTTCTTCCCAAAGTCCCACCAAATCACCCCTTTTCCAGTGGGAAACCATTCCCCCTTGTCCTGTCCCTCCATCCCTTGTCCAAAGTCCCTCCCAGCTCTCCTGGATCTCCGTTAGGCACTGGAAGCTGCCAGGGCTGGGTCCCTGCAGATGCTCATCAGCCTCCTCCCTGCACACGAGACTGCTCAGCACTTTCCCTGATGAGTCACACAGAACTTTCCTGCGCTGGGATCCCCAAGGAATTCATCCCCAGAACCGGTTCCCAGAGCTGTTGTGTCACCGTGGGGACATGGAGCTGTTGTGTCACCGTCCCCTCACACGCCTCCCCGGACTTTGCTCCATGTGTTCCAGAGGCTCCTGGGGCCAGGGTGTGGGATTCCCAGGGCTGGGAGGAGCCGAGACTCATCCTGGAGGGAGGGGTGCCCTGACTGTTCCTCGAAATCCGCCCTTGCTGTGGCTGTCTGGGCAAACAGGGACGTGTTCCAACGGAGCCGCTGCGGGCGCTCCCGGCCCCACTCGGGCGGATCCGTCAGCACTTTGGGAGCTGTGTCAGCTCCTCCGGGGCCTGTGGGGCAGCCCCGGAGCCAGGGGCAGTGCCAGGGCCCATCCTGAGCCATCTCTTTCAGGAGGCAGCTGGGGATCTGGTGACAGCTGATGACTCTGGGACCCTCTGCCTGTGGAGCACCGGGGAGGAGTTCACCCTGCTCGGAAAGATCCCGGGATCTGGGTGAGCCCCGGGGGTCCTGTGGGGTGTCAGACACACGGGAGGGTGACCCGGGGAGGAGGTGACATGAGCCCCTGTCCCCAGCTGCACCTGCTCCTCGGTGACGCTGTGGAACGGGATCGTGGCTGCGGGCTACGGGAATGGGCAGATCCGGCTGTGGGAGGCAGGGACGGGGCAGCTCCGTGCCCAGGTGAGCGCCCACGCCCGCTGGATCTACGCCCTGGACCTGGCACCGCTCACCGGAAAGGTACGGGGGGGTCAGGGCATCCCACCTGCGTGCCAAGCTGGCATCACACCCCAGCATCCCACACTGGCATCCCACCCTGGCACTCCACCCTGGAATCCCACCTGGAATCCCACCCCGGTGTCCCACCCTGGCCCTGGCCCTGCCACCTCCGCGGTGTCCCCACGGTCCCTCCGCTCCCCCCGCAGCTGCTGTCGGGCGCAGAGGATTCCTTTGTCCACGTCTGGAAGCTCAGCAGGGACCCGGACACGGATGATGTCGAGGTGAGTCTGGGCCCGGGACAGGGATGTGGCCCTTGGATCCACATCTGCTCCTTGGGGACCGGGCCGTGTCCCTGGGAGCCGTGGCTGCCCCGGTCCCGGCGTTGCTCCGGCCCCGCTCCCCGCAGATCCAGCACTGCCACGCCGAGTGCGTGACGGACACGCAGGTCTGCGGCGCCCGCTTCTGTGACCCTGCTGGGGACACCTTCGCTGTCACCGGCTACGACCTGAGCGAGATCCTCTGCTATGGCCCGGCCTGAGCCGGGAGCGCCGGGAACGCCGGGAACGTCGGGCTGATCCAGCACCGCGGGCGAGGGGTGAGCACAGACCCCCCCTCCAGCTCCGAGGGGATGTGAGGGGGGAGCTGGGCCGGATCCTCCCGTGCCCAAAGCCCCGCCGAGGGCCGGAGCTGCTCTGGAGCCAGCCCATCAGGGGGATCCCCAAGATACTCCCATGGCTCCCCCTCCAGGTCCTGGGATCCACCCGTGGCTCCCCACCCTTCCCGGAGGGCTGCGTGGCTGGGAACGGGCTCGGCCCAGACGGGAGGATCCCGGGAAACCTGTGCTACCTGCTGCTCTGCCCCGGCCAGGAGAGCCCTGAGCCTGGCCCAGCCCTGAGCCCGGCCCAGCCCTGAGCCCGGCCCAACCCTGAGCTCGGCCCAGCCCTGAGCTCGGCCCACCCATAAGCCCGGCCCAGCCCTGAGCTCGGCCCAGCTGCGGGGCAGCTCCTGCCGGCCCCAAGAACTCCGGTCACACAGGGACCGGGATGGGAGGGAGTGGGGGAACAGTGGGGACACGGGGAGTCTGGGAGACCCCACACCCCCGTGGGACCTCACAACCCCGTGGGACCCCAACCTCTTCTAGGACCCCACGACCCCACAGCCTCATGGGACCCCAAGCTCCCGTGGGAACCCACACCCCCGTGGGACCCCGCAGCCCCACAGCCGCTGGCCAGATGTGCGAGGCCCCAGCTGTGCTCCGGGGCTGGAAACTGCAGCAGCAGCTGCAGCAGTACCTCAGGGACGTCCTCAGGTCCCCCTGGCTGCCCCTGACCCCCCCGGGGGGCTGCCCTGCCCTGGCCCCCCCGTGGGAGCTGCCGTGACCCCAGGCTCTGCTCCCAGGGCCTTGTGAGGCCGTGGGGAGGACACAGAGACAAGGGGGGCTCAGCCTGGGACAGGCCTTGATGGTGGGGAGCCCCCAGCCTGCCCCCCCAGCCACTCCTACCACGCTGGGGGACGAGCCATGGACAGGGATCTGCCCCCCCAGTAAATGACCCCACCCGTGTGTCCCACTTGTGTCCCCCCCAACCCATGAGCTGCACCCCCATGTGTGGGTCAGGGCCCCCCATTCCTGTTCCCACCCTCATGTACTTCATATCCCCCCCAATAAATACACCCCAATGAAGCCCCCCCAGTGTTGCTCCTTCCTGTGGGAAGGGGTTTGGGGGGCAGAGCGGGATGGGGGGCACTCAGAGTCGGGGTCTGTTACAAAAAGCTTTATTAAAGGTTAAAACAGCTGCTGCTGAGGCGGGGGGGCCCACTCCAGGCCGAGGGGGGCCCACTCCAGGCCGAGGGGGGCCCACTCCAGGCCAGGGGGGCCCTGGAAGGCCCGGGGGCCGCTGTGCTCCTGGGGTAAAAAAGTGTAAAAATGGTTGTGCAGTTCAGCCCGGAGGGGTTGGACGGTGCCACCCCCACTCCAGGGGGACACAGCCCAGGGACAGGGACAATGTCCCCCCTGGGCCCAGAGCCCGGGGGCCCGTCCAAGGCACAGAGATGAGCCGGGGGCTCTCGCAGCCACACAAGCACCCAGGGACCCCCCCACACCCACCCCACCCACCCTCCTCACAGCTTGGCCCCCCCACCCCCTGGGGGGGAGAAAATACAGCACCAGAGAGCCCTGCGGGGGGAGAAGCCCTCAAGAAAGACGGGGGGGCAGCAGAGCCCCCGCTCCCTGCACACCCCCAGCCCCAAATACTGCTCGGTCAGAGGTAGCACCAGCATTGGCCGGGGTGGGGGCCCTGCCGGGGGGCTCAGCATGGCCCCCCCGGGGGAAGGCACGGTGGGCAGGGGGCTGTGCCCCAGCAGAGCCTGTAAACAGCCAGGGGTGGGGCAGGTAAACAGGCCCTTGGGGCAGGCTGGCCGAGCCCCCCAGCCTGGGGTGGGGACCCCCAACCTGGCCGAGCCCCCCAGCCCGGGGTGGGGATCCCAAGACCGAGCTCCCCAGCCCAGGGTGGGGGTCATAGGGCCCAGCCCTTCAGTTCTGTGTGCAGTCCCTGGGGCTGAGCCCCCCATTCCAGTGTGGGGGTCCCGAGCCTGAGCCACACAGCCCAGCACAGGGACCCCCAGCCCAGCCAAGCCCCCCAGCCCAGCATGGGAGCCACAGCCCCAAGCCCCTCACTTAGAACAGGGACCCCCAGGCCAGCTGAGCTCCCCTGCCCAGTGTGAGGGTCCCAGCCTCAAGCCCCTCAGCTCAGCACAGGGACCCCCAACCCATCCAAGCCCCCAGCTCCATGTGGGGGTCCCAGCCTCGAGCCCTTCCGCCCAACACAGGGACCCCCAGCCCGGCCGAGCCCCCCAGCCCCACACAGGGGCTCCCAGTCCAGCCAAGCCCCCCAGCCCCATGCGGGGGTCCCAGCCCCTCGTCCCCAGCTCAGGACACGGGGGGCGAGGGCCGCCAGAAGCACCACTTGCTGCGGGGGTGCTGCTTGCGCTGGAGCTGCTCCTCGCGCTCCCGCTCCTTCTTGGAGCGCAGGTACAGATCCTCCTCCTTCAGGTACCACACCGGGGGCCAGCGGTGCCGCTCGAAGTGCGCCTGGTTCTCTGTGGGGGCAGCCCGGGGGTTAGGGCAGGGCAGGGACGTCCCCTGAGTCCCCCCGTGCCCCAAGTGCCCCCCGTACCTGGGGACATGAACTTCATCTCGCGGGGGAAGCGGCGGCACACGCGGTTGTAGTTGGTGCAGATGTAGTGCAGGCACCACGCGGCCAACTGGTGGGCGTTGTGGAACTGGGGGGGGCACAGGGGGGTCACCCCACTGCCTGCACCGCACCGGGGGTCCCTGTGTCCCCCCGGGGGGTCTCCGTGCCCCCCAGCCCCCCGTACCTGCGTCATCTCCAGGTAGATGATGACCTGCTCGTCGATCTCCACGCGCTGCATGAAGGCTCGGAGCAGCTCGTCCACGGCGTATTGCTCTGGGGGGCAGCGAGTCAGGGGGGTCACTCACCGGGGACGTGCCCCCCGGGGTGAGCCAGGCCCCCCCGGGATTGCGCAAGGCCAGGGAATGACAGAGAGGGACGATCGATCCGACCCCGCGGCACCGGCAGCGTATTGGCGGGTGACGTCAGGGGACACGGCGGGACCGGGGGCGGGGGGGTCTCACCGGTGAGCGCCTGCAGCCGCGGCAGGCACAGCCGGTCCGTCAGGATGAGCAGCTCCATGGCGTCCAGGTCGGGCGTGGGGGTGAAGACCCCCGTGTAGAGGAAGTCGAGCACGGCGCGGAGGCAGGCGCAGTTGGTGCCGGGCAGGGATACCTGCGGCACCAGGGACGGGTTTGGCGGGGCTGGAGCCACCCCCGGGGGGGGCTGGGGCAAGGAGGGACCCTCCTGGCAGTGCCCGACCTGGCACAGACCCCCGACCCAGCACAGCCCTCCACAACTCTGGCACAGCCCCTCCTGACCCAGCACAACCATCCCACAACTCTGGCACAGAGTCCCCTGTCTGGCACAGGCCCCCAGCCCTGATACCATCCCCCTCACCCAGAACAGCTCCTCCAGCCCCAACACAGCTCCCCCCCAGCCCTGGCACAGCCCCCCCCGATCCAGCAGAGCCCCCCAGCCCTGGAATAATCCCCCCAGGCCCAGCACAGAACTCCCTGACCCAGCAGAGCCCCCCACTTTCTCCCCAGCAGAAGGGAAGCAGGACCCAGCTGTGTCAGGGCTCGGAGGGGGGTCCAAGCAGCCCCCAGACCCCACCCAAAGATGCCCACCCTTCCAGCAGCCCCATGGCAGAGCCAGTGGGTCCCCCCAGGCCCCTCAGCCCCTACCTCTTGGGCGTAGCTCTCACGGAAGCCCCCCCGGAACATGGCCCTCATCCAGTCGCAGCCAGCGATGAGCAGCGGCTTGTGCGCCGGCACCAGCCCGTCATCCACACGGAACACCACGTCTGGGGACAGGGGACAGCTCAGGGAGGGACAGGGGACAGCTCAGGGGAGACAGACACCCCTCGGACACCACAGACCGGGGACAACCACCCCTCGGACACCCCTTGCCCACCCCAGCCCAGGGAGAGGCCCCCCTTGGCCACCAGAGCCCCCCACTATGGGACAATCACCTCTTGGTCCCCCCTGCCCAGAACTGTCAGCACCCGACTCCCGGTAGCCCCACCCACCATGACTGACTGTGACAAGGGCTCCGGGACCCCAGACCCCAACGGCCTCAGTGGTGGGAGGGGATCAGGGTGACTGGAGCCCTGTGTCCAAGCTGACATCCCAGGAGGGGCACACTGGCCAGAGGGGACGGAGCTGGGTGACCCCCTGTCCTCACAGCCCCCCCAGGGCCCCCGTACCCGCGAAGACGCCCTTGGCCAGGCACTCCTTGACGCGGTTGGCGCGGCGCACGTGGAAGGCCTTGGTGATCTCCTGGTTCATGAAGCTCTCCTGGTTGAGCTCGTTGGCCACCATCATGCGCAGGTCGAACACCTCGAGCAGCTCGGCCACGGCGCCCACCTGGCGCAGGTCGGCGTGGGGCCGCTCCAGCCGCCCGGTGTACAGGTACTCCAGCACGGCGCGCAGCGGCTCCGGCCGCACGGCCCGGTCCATGGCCACCACCGCCATGCGCCGCTCCCGCCCCGCCGCCGGCTCCGGCACCTCCTCCCAGCGCAGGCTCAGGAACCCGCGGCCCCACCCCGACAGGTCGCGGGTGCCCCCGTCCCCCTCGCCGGGGGTCCCGGGCGGCCCCTCGAGCGTGAACAGGTCGTAGAAGCGGGAGCAGGCGGTGGCCAGGAACACGCGGTGGGCGAAGACGCGGTGCCCGCCCTGCAGCTGGAACACGACATCGGCGCAGAGCGGGGCCCGGAACAGCGCGGCCGGGCCCCCCCCCCAGCCCGGGGGGCGCGTCGGGCACCTGGATGAGGGGCGGTGGGGGCTTGGGGGGGCAGGAAGGGCGCCTGCAGCAGCGGGCGCTGCATCTTGCGCAGGTGGGACTTCCAGAACTGCAGGTGGCGGCGGGACACGAGCGCGGCGCGGATGGCGTTGTCGAACACGTCCTTCACCCCGAACTGCGCCACCACGCTGGTCTCGTAGTACGGCACCCCCAGCTCCTGCGCCACCTCGTGCCCCCGCTCCGGCGGCAGGATGTCCGAGGGCTTGATGGGCCTGTGGGGGCACGGACAGGGCAGGGGCTGGGGGGGCTGAGGAGCGGCTCCCCAGGCATCCCAGGGGGTGCTGGGGGCTCCGGGGGGACACCCCAACCCAGGAGTGCTGGGGCGGGCGGGGGCTCTACCCCACAGGTGCTGTCAAGGGCCCCCACCCAGGGGAGTCTGGGGGACGCAGGCACGGGCAGGGACGCACCCTGACCTGGTAGCGGCAAAACGGGGGGTCCCCTGGGCAGCAGAGGGAGGGGTCCCCATTCCCACGGCACCGGCTGGGGTCCCCAGGATGGTACACTGGGGGTCCCTGTCCCCGTGGGGCTGGGGTGGTCCCAGCACTGGCGCACTGGGGGTGCCCCAGGTGGGTGGCCCGGGGGCTCACTTGGCCAGCGGCCGGCGCGCGCGGTTGACGGCGTCCAGGTCGGCGTAGCGCAGGTCCAGCTGGCAGCCCACCAGCACGATGGGCGTGCGGGGGCAGAAGTGCTTGATCTCGGGGTACCACATGGTCTTCACGTGCCGCAGAGAGTTGGGGTTCGCCAGCGAGAAGCAGAGCACGACCACGTCCGACCTGGGGGCACGAGCAGGACGGGAGGGCAGCGCTGCCCCGGGGCCACCCCAGCGTCACCCCACGGCCACAGACACTGTCACCCTGCGGCTCCAAACACCCCCTGCTCGGGGGGGCACCATCCTGGGACACTGCCCCCAGCCTTCAGGAGTCCCATGACCCACTGAGAGCCCCTTGACTGTGGTGGTCTCACAGACCCTCAGAAACCCCACAGACCCCCAGGGTACCCCCAGGGCACCCCCAGACCCCCAGGAGTCCCACAGACCCCCAAGAGTCCCATGGCCAAGGGAGCCCCATGGTCTCCAGGGGGTCCCAGGACACCCTGGGAGCCCCACAGAGCCCAGAGGCCCCATGATCTCCCCGAGGAGCCCCACAGCCCCCAGGGCCCCATGGCAGGGGCAGTGAGGCCAAGGAGGGACCCGATGGGACCTGGCTCTGGGTCACCCCATCAGCCAAGCCATGGGCTGCCCTGGCTTGGGTCAGCACCGGGGGGGCCTGGCCCCCGAGCATCCACGGGGGGGTCCCACAGGGGCTGGCCGGGTGGGTGCCAGCCCCCAGCACCAGGGACAGACCCTGCCAGCCACCCCCAGCCCTGTCCCTGTGCCCACGGGGGGGCTGTCACCGTCCTCCTGGCCCCGGCTCGAGGGGTGCAAGGTGCCAGGGCACATGTGGCGTTGCCAGGGGACACGAGGGGTTGCCAGGGGACACGGGGGTGCCAAGGGACACCGGGCAGGTGCCAGGGGACACGGGGAGAGTGCCAGCACCCCCAGGTCCCCGCAGCAGCCGCGTGGCCCCAGGCCCGGGTTGTTTTTAGTCCGTGCTCGGCCGGGACGTGACCGGGAGGTGCCGCTGGAGCCGGGCCCGTGTCCCGGACCAAGATAGCCGCCACCGGCCCCGGGCCCCCGCCGTGCCGCGGGTTGATTAGCGGTGCCGCGGGGCTGGCGCGGGGCGGCGGCGATAAGAGCCCGGACGTGCCGGCGGCCACGGGGAAGGCTGTTTACAGCCGAGGGAACCGGGGGGGCCCCTCCTGCGGCCAGGCCGGCGCCCCCGGGGAAGGGTTCCACATTCCAACAGCCCCTCAGAGACGGCCCCCACCCACAGCGCCGGGGGGGCCGCGAGCACCCGGGATCTCTGCTCGGGGCAGGGGCTTGGGGGATGCAGTGTTGGGGTCAGGGTACCCCCAAAGCCATCCCCGGCCGGGGGTGGGGCAGTCCCGCCGCCCCTCGGAGGGTTTGGGGTGCCGGAGCTGCTCTCTGGGCGCTGGCAGGAGCCCAGGGGGCTCCTTTGGCTCTGTGTGCGCTGGGTGGGCAGGGCTGGGGGGGTCGGGGTGCCGCTGGGGGGTTCAGGGTGCCGGTGGCGGGTCGGGGTCCCACCTGCCGTAGGCGAAGCGCCGATCCTTATGATGGTCCCCGAAGGTGTCCCAGAGGCGCAGGGAGACGCTGACCTCGTCCACCACATCGCGGGAGCGCTCCAGCACCTGCCGGCACCGGGACCGGCACCGGGACCGGCACCATCACCGACCGCCCTGCCCGGTAAACCCAGC